CGTGTCGTGTCAAATATTGACACCCCTATTCTCTTGTAGTTTTGATTTTTGATGATTTTATGAAAATATAAAAGAATTACTGCAAACTTAAAAATATATAGCATATTATTGAGAGTAAATATATGATAAATAGGGATGTTCCCTTGACCTGCAATTATTGTTAGAGAACAAACAACTACATTTATTTTTCAATTGTCAAGACAAGTTGTGTAGGTATGAAAATATTGACAAGATTTACAATTTGACCACTAGCCTCTTAATCTAGCATATAGATTTTACGGGAACAATTTGAAGCATTAAAAATATGAGCTAAAATTATACTACTCTGAACAATTTCTTCTACTTTGAGCCCTTCTAATTCAATGAGATAAGCCTTCCTTGTTTTCACCATAACCTTGGGACTTTTGGAGGAGGTTTTAGCATCTATTTTTCATGTGCCATTTTTTCTTGCAGTAATTACATCAAAAGATGTTTAAAATGATTTATGAAAAATATATTTAACACCTCATACAATATCAAAATTTATTGACAATTAATTTTAAATTTGTTGTGGTGAACTGTAGCAAATGAGTAGTAGAAATAAATGATCAATCTTTCATGATAAGTTTAATAAACGCAGCCCACTAGAAAAAAAAAATATTATGAAGCAGTGGTTGAAGCTTTCTCTGGTCCTTCATTGGGCTCACCTATTGGAGCAATTATTACATCCGGTGTCCGAATGCGTTCAGAAACCAATAACCACGCACAACGTCACCTAAAACTCGGTATTTTGGACTCGGTGTTCGATTTTTTACCGGATGTAATAATTTCTCCTCCTATTGGGTCCTTGTACTCTTGTCTGCAATCTTTGAAATTTATTATAAAGAAGAAAAAATGGTCCAATGCTAACCTTTTTTCAAGGGAAAATTGAAGATCTCAAACAAAAACAACTAGACTGCCTTGTGGAGTTACAATCCAATCCTTAAAATTCTGCTCAGAACAATAATATGAAAGAAACTAATGACTTACTGCACTCTTTTCAAGTTATTTGGTCTAATTGGATTTGCCGAAGGGCTAAAACTAATGACTTACTGCACTCTTTTCAAGCCTCCAAATGCTAATTGTTCTGATTTTCCTCCTGGTAACAATGTGCCTTCTTTGCAGATTATCTGATTTTGCCTTTCTCCAATGATGAAATTAAAGCTGTTATCTTTGCTTTACCTAAATCTTCTACTCCAGGACTTGATGGGTATAATGCTGAATTCTATCAATCAGCCTGAGATATCATAGGCTTAAAAGTGTGCAATGCTCTGAAAAATGTTTTCAAAATAGGAAAATTCTTGAAGCTATTAAAGTCATTGCTATTACTCTTATTCCCAAATGCTCGCATGCTTCTAATATTCTTTATTTTAGGCTTATTTCTCTTTGCAACACTTTTTACAAAATTGTTGCTAAACTTCTTGCTAATATACTAAAAAAAGTGCTTCCTTTTATTATCTATGATAGCCAAGTAGGATTTATCCACAAAAGGTGTTCCTTTGATACTATCATTCTGGCCTCAGAGGTGCTTAGGAAATTTAAGAATAAGAGAAATCTTTTTTGTGCAAAACTAGATATCTTTAAAGTTTTTGACATGGTATCTAGAGATTTTCTTATTCATAGGATGAGGCAAAAAAGGATTCCGAAAATGTTTTTAAAATGGATTAAAGGGTGTATTGAATTTGTTTATTTCTCCATTTGCATAAATGGGTCTCTAGAGGGCAGGATTACTTTCATTCATCTTCGAGTCTTAGGCAAGGCTGCCCGCTTTCACACCTTTGCAATATAGTTATGGATACTCTTTATTGTACCATTGAATCAAATAAGGACAATACTTTCTATGGCATTACAGAATCGGGTAATAATCTTAATCACCTATTATATACATACGACTTATTCGTTTTTGGGAATTCTGACATTTAGAATGTCGATAGCCTTAAGCTTATTCTTCAAAAGTTTGTCGATGCTTCATCTCTTAAGGTTAATGTTAACAAAAGCTCTATCATATTTTCTACCAACAACTCTCCCATGGAGGACACTTGTGCAATTCTTGGTATCACCAAAACTGATCCATTCTTTACTTACCTGGGTCTTCTTATTTCCAAGGACAAGCTGAAAAACATTCACTTTCAACCGCTTTTAAATAAGATTTACTCTTTATTTGACGGTTGGAAAGTTAAATTCTTATCATTTGCTGGTAGATTGCAATTTTTAAAATTTAGCATTTCTAATACTATTGCATATCGAATTAGAGGAGCCATTATGCCAAGGAAATGTTGTAAGATTATTGAAAAGCTTTGTTCAAAGTTTTTACTTCATGGTAAATACCATTGGTAGAAGAATGCATATCATCTCTTGAAAAAATATTTGTAAATCGAAAAATAATGGCAGTTTAGGATTCCTGCTATTGATGCTCTCTATCATAGCTTTACTTGTTCGTTCATATGGAAATTTCTCTCAACGGATTCAGCTATTGCTGAGTGGTATAAAATGAAATACATCTCCCCCTGAAAACCACCACCTGTTCAAGCATCCAAAATGTGGAAGCACATCTAACATGCTGCTCTTTTGATCAAAGATAAAATTTCTTTTAATATTGCTGCCAATTGCAGGTTATCTTTTTACTAGGACTCTTGGCTTAAAGGAAAAGCTATTGTTGAGTTATTACCTCCCCCTAGGCTTTCAAATGTTGCTGTAAATTCTTTTAGTTAGAATGGTACTTTGATTATCTTTTCCACTTTCCTCTCACAGTCCAAAATTGTCTTAAAGACATTAAAATCGTGGAAATTAGAGAGGTTTTCTTGGAAGGTATTCCAAAACCGTTACATAGAAATTTTTATGATCACTGTTTTTTCTCAGGAAGATTGGATTTTCTGGCATAAAAATCACTAAGATTTTCTATGTTTATTTGGAAGGCAAGTATTGAGAGGCTTAAAACAGCAGAATTATTGAATAAGAATGCTATTAATATTCCTGCTACCTGCTTTTTATGTAATAATGCGACGTCTTCTTTGAATGTGATTATTCTTTTTCTGTGATAAAAGGTATATTTCCTCTCATATATTTGTTTTTAATGAGACCTATATTCCAATTATTTGATTGCATTGACAATAATCATCAGTCAAATAAAAGACCTAAGCATATCAATCTGCAGCATTATTTATCATTTATGGAAAGAAAGGAATAATAGACGGGTTTCCATGAACTGGATGGATCCGTCTTATTTTATTTCTGAAGTGAAGAAGGCTATTCAATTTAAGATTTTGAAGTGCGAAAATAATGAGAAGATCAAAGACTCAAGGCAAATGGCTATTTATAGAATTTTGGTTCAGCCACTCAAGTTTTAATAACCGATACTCTTAAGGACTATGATGATCAAAGCCAACTTTTCATATTCAAATACATGGAGGGCCTTCGCAATGAAAGAATTCTACATATTAATATGCTATATTCTACATTTTATAATAGTCATGTAAGAAAGTCTCATGACATCACAAGAAGGTATCTCAACTCAAAAGTTCTGAAATCATTAGAATAGAGTACAATCAGCAAGATGAATTTGAAACCACAAGATATTATTATATACTTCAGAAATCACCAGAACATCCATCTTGTTGAGATTCTTGGGGAGGAAGAAGAAGCTTTCTTCAGCTTCTTGGAAGAGAGAAGGATAGAGAGAGAGAAAAGTGGAGAGGGAGAACAGCTGAAATCAGAATTTAATTGCTTGACTATCTATTACAATCTATAGCCTCTATTTAAAGACATAAAAAGCTACACCAATGGCAATACAATCCATCCAAGAAACCAAAAAAAACAACTAAAGCTAACAGAAAAATGCAAAAACAGACATAAGTTGGATCACAAAAAAACTTTAACATGATTGTGCAAGAATCTTGATGCAAACTTCTAGATCTCAAAATGCTCAAATATTCAAATAAAAAACTTTTAGAATCAACTCTAAGACCATCTAAACTGTTTTCAACATCGAAACAAATCTCTTGATGATACAAAACCAATGATACCAAGAACATCTTGATCCTTATCCATATGAACCTAAATCAACCATTTAGATGCATAGTGGAAGCTTTAAGAGACCATTTGAGATGCTAAATGACATTTAATTTTTATGTGCTTAATATCGAAATGTCTTTTTTCTCTTTGAGGCGAATCCAACAAGCCTAAGATTGCTTAATTTTAATATAAGGCACTAAAATGTATAAGAAATATGGGGAAAAACATGGATTATTTTGATTTTTAGACAAATGACCTAAATGTCCATCTCCAAAATCTATAAATGCCTTAGTTCTACACATTCAAAAGAGAGGAGGTGAAAGTAGGATGGGATGAGGCCTAAATTGGAGAGAGAATTCAGATATTTGTCTACAACAATTGATATTCATCATCAACGCCAATGCCAACTCCCACCATCAATACCAAAATTAACTCCTCACGTCAGCAAGGTAAAGACCTATCACTGATATCAAAATCACTACCAACAACATTGACACATGCAGTCGCCAATATGGTCGACGCTCACAATCAATGCAAAGGTTGACACCCATCGTCGACACCGAGGTTTACACCTGCCTTCAACACCAAGGCTAAGGCCTATAATAACAAATAGAGCCCAAGCTTGATGTCTGTCGTCGCCAAAAAAGTCAATGCCCACCGGTAACAACAACACTGGTGCTTACTCTCTACATTAACATCGACGCTCTTTGTTTCCAACAAGGCCAACACCCGCCACAAACATCAACTCCGATGTCCACCTTCACGAACAAAGCTAAAACTTGTTATTGAAATCAATGTTGACAACACTAAAGTCCTCTATCAATGACAAGGCTAACACTCGTAGTTGACACCAACACCGACGCCCACCATCATACTCATCGTCATAACCGGCCATCCCTAAATATAAGGTTCATTTCGCTACTAAGTTTACATTGTGCGTATACTTACTAGGAAAAAAATTAAGCTCAACAAACAAAAACAAATAACAATCTTATCATGACAAACAACAAGTTCACTCCACTAACAAACACTTACACTCTCAATAACATTTGCAACAACACAAATAATGTTTACATGCTAACACATGTAATACTCTATGTTCCATCAAGCACTCGTAAGCAAGCCAGATAAAAACACCACAAGCTGCTCGAACACAAAGTTCTCAAGCCATCATAATACAATCAGCAAGACAAGTCAAAAACCACAATATAATAATAATGCATCCATATAAAAACTTCACTGTAGTGAAACTATCAGCAAAATTCTGGGCATGTTATTCTACTGAATGTTACCCCAATAGCAGGACCCAAGACCCTAGTAAAATTCCACTGGTGCCACGGTCGGAATCCACTCCAGCTGCTGCACATCTAGCCCAATTTCTTTATCAGTGATCACCGCCATGGGATCATTCAAAAACTCTCCCACACCGCTACTATGGTTGTACCAACCAGGAAGAACAGTCAATGACGTTGGCGCGGTCGTCTCTCTTAGTATCAAGTCAACCAGTGTGGGTATATCAGCCTTCAGCGTCTCTTCTATAACTTCAATCCCTACAATAGGAAGAAGAAGAACTGAAACCATTGAAGCTAACTTAAACAGAACAAAATTATAATTGCAGCTTCTTTCTGAATGGAAAACAGAACATAATAAATTCATAATGGTCTCATAAAAAGAAGAAAGAATAAAGAGAGATTTGTCAAAAAAAGGATTCATCTAAGGGAAAATCCAAATAGACCAATTTACCATAGAGATCAATAACGTGCAGCAGATCATCCAAGAGTCTGCTGCTGCCCTGTGGCATCTGCTCATCCCCAAAATTGGAAGAAAATTGGCTTGAAGGGAGCTCCTTTGTCACTGCGTAAGGAGGCGGCCCGAGATCGAAGTATCCCAAACAGTTCTCAACGGGATATGTAAAATAAGGTAACTGGAAGGAGATGTTATTCCCTCGGTTTGGGCATTGTCGGATAGAAACACATTGATTTTCTGAAAGTTGTGGCATGGCCGAAGGGAGCGATGAAAGAATGGCTTGCGATGGTTTGAGCGCCGGCGGGGAAATGGCTATGCACTGCTCTTGCCTTTGACTCTTTAACGGCATGTGCTGTTGGTTCTCCAGCCGGTACATAGGTAAGCCCGCCCTCTTCCTCCGGTTAATCAAAGTATTCCAGTAGTTTTTTATTTCGTTGTCAGTCCTCCCAGGCAACTACCACCATCAAATCATAACAGTCACAATAAAGATGGAATAAGGTGCGGTGGAGAGAGAGAGAGAGAGAGAGGCGTAAAAGGATCTTTACATGTTTGGCGATTTGAGCCCATCTGTTGCCAAGCTCATCGTGCAGCAGAAGGATGAGCGTCTCCTCGTAAGGCGAAAACGATTCCTTCTTCAGATTCGGCCGAAAGTTATTCACCCATCTGAGCCGGCAGCTTTTGCCAGTGCGTTGAAGGCCGCTGTTCTTCTGCAGAACGTTCCAGTTACCTGCTCCATGTTTTCTCACATACTCTTTGAGAATCGTGTCCTCCGCCGGCGTCCACGGTCCCCTTTTCTGCAGCTGCTGCGTGGTGGCAGATGCGCCTCCACCGGCGACGGCCGTACTCGCTCGCTCCTTCTTCAAGGGCGGCCTCATCTCTCACCGAAACAAGCTAAAGCTCCCCTTTTTTCTGCTTCTGTACTCGCAATTTCCTTAAACCGCTCGCAAAAGAAAAGAGAGACGATACGGTGTAGATTGCTTCCTTCCTCGCCATTCTACTAGATTTAAATACTAAAAAAAATTTTTTTTTTGCTTCCAATAAAATATGAGAATAAAATCAAAATTAAATTTTTATTTGGGAGCGAGTCGAGGCTCTCATATTCCCCCACCCAAAATGACGAAAACTATACGAAGAGGGGGAAGAGGAGCCACTGGCCGGCAGCGGTAGAAAGGGTTGGGACCACCGACAGGCGGGTTGGCGAATGATACTAACATCCCCAATATTTTTTAGTTTGGCCACGCTGTGAAAATGAGTGAATATATATAATATATCTATTTTTTGAAAATTAAGGGTAGGATAGATGAGAAGGGTGGGTGATAATAACAGTGCTTTCTTCATAATTAAGTTTTGATTTTTTTTTTTTTAATTTAAAGCAAAGTTTTCATTAACGCCTTTTTCATAGCAAAAATTGATTTCTCCCATGTCATATACATAAATTATGATATTTTTTGACTAAAACATTGGCCATTTAAGAACAATTCTTCTTTAATTTTTTATAAATATATTTTGAGAGATAATTTAAACCTAATTGTCTTTCTATTTGTAAAAAAATTTAACAATTCTTCCTTAGCATTATATGAACTCAATTTTAGCATTTTATAGTTGAATTGAACGTCTCTAAAAGTGATTCGATCTGAGTCGAAATAAGCTCAAATCAAGCACTTGAAGTGTGATGAAAATTTCAGAGAAATTAATTAGAGGACTAAACGATATTTGATTTTTGTATACTCGTAGTCCAAATGAGCCTCCTAATGAGAGAAATCTAAGAAGCTTAATATCATTCAATTCAAAGATCATTAAATCATCTAAATGTTAAAGGAATATTCTATGATCAAATGAATCAACATGAGTTATCCAATGAAATATTTTTTTTTTAGTTAGATATGCATGAATGTCAATCACAAAAACTATAAGTAGATCACCGTTGTCCAAATGAGGACTTGGATTGGAGATTAGAGAGCTTAGAGATCTGAAGTCTTTTGTAACCATAAAATTCAAGTCCTTCACTTCAATCAAATAATAATACACCAATGATCTCTTGAAGTCTTTTAAAACTATTAATTTTTTTCTCGACTTAAGCTTCCACGATAAGAATTATTTCCAATGAGGATTTATGTAGATCTGACTCGAGCCAAATCCAACACCTCATCCCTTGAGGCCTTGTTCGACCTCTTTATAAATGAGGAATTTGGAGGTGTTAAGTTTTCTCTCAACTTTCACATATATAGGATAATATTTAATTTTCTTAAGAGAAAGAATTAGAGTCTACAAAGGGATAATTGAGAGGTGTGAGTTTTCCTCATAACTTCACCTATGAAATGTGTTGGAGTTTTCGAGGAGAAACTACACTGTATGTACGAGATACTGTTTAATCGGTTTTGAGAGAAGAAATTAAGTTTTGCTTGAACAGCTTTTTGTTAGTTTCTAAAGCGGGGTTTTAGTACAAAATTTTATAAATTTTCAATTTAATAAATTTTTGTAATAAAAAGCTGCTTTAGAAAGTAGTAAGAAAGCTGATCCAAATCAAGACCTAAGCCTACAAAAGGAGAATTTTGAGTTGTGAGTTCTCCTTATAACTCCACCTATGAATGGCAACTTGGTACTCTTGGTTGAAGTACAATGAAGCATATGAGGTGGATCTATGCTCTGCCTATATATGATAGTGTTTAAAGTTTTTTAAGAGAATGAATTGGAGCCTATGAAGGGAGATTAGTAGCCTATGGTGTAGTTGTGAGAAAATTGGACAGTTTTTTGGCTATTTAATGAATTTATTTAAACATGTTTACATTTAAATTAAAAAAAAAAAAAAACTTGAGGCATTTATATTAAAAAAAAAACAGAAGAAAGCTACATCTTCACACACCATAGGCTACTAATCTACTAGTCCAACATAGTCTAAGCCAAAATTTTCTTTTGTATAAGACTATTCAAATAATTTTGGAGTCTTGGAACTAATTTTTGACATTATGAAATCATTTTTTATATTTTCATAGTCTAAAAGAGCTTCTATGATAAATTTTTAGTAAATTTGAAATTGTTAGAGAAAAATTTTGAATATTTTTTTCTTTAATCAACTCTCCAACTTTAAAAAATGGTAGAAATCATAGTTTCGAGGAATGTAATTTATTCACGGCCCCAAAGGGAAGTTCATATTGATTTTTAAGGAGTAGTTGATTTTTTTTACAATTATAATTTGAGAGAAGACTTTTTTAAAAAATCATAGCCCAAAAGCAATTATAGTGGCGGAGCTAAAATTTGTTTTTTGGGGGCTTCAAATTAAGTTTTTCCAATATTCTCTCAATTTTTTCATCGAAATTTAATTTTTTTTAATTTATTATTTTAAAAAGATGGATTATAATATGAAAAAAATTTCACAATTTATAATATATAATCTTTATTATATTCTGAAATAGTTGAGTAATTACTTCATTATTAATAAAATGCATTGATCTCCAATTCTATTTTATTATCGATTTTTATAATAGTGAAGCAACAAAAAATTCTTTGAACTTATGTTACATTTATCTTAAAATAAATTCTAAAATTTTTAATTTATCATAATAAAACTTTTATTATAATATTCGAACACAACTTAACTTCATATAAAAGTTGGAGCTATAATAAGATGAATGAGAGAAATAATGTAATTAACTAAACTTCTATTTTAATAAATAATAATATTATTAATATAAATATTTAAAAAAAGAAGGAAAAAAAATATTATACATTTTTGGGGGGTCATGCCCCTTTCCTTGTATAAATTGGATATCATTTAGGGGGTCAAGTGCGTGTTTGTCTGTATGTTTTTTTTTTTTTTTTTTTTAAGGCATGGTTTATTTTTAAATGACTCAAAATTTAAAGTCTTAAAATAAGAGGGCAAATGATACATCATTAAAAAATTTATTAATCAAGTATAAGTTTTGGCGCAAGAAACTTTTAGCATTGACATTAGGATTATTTGAACTCCAATTTTAATAACTTTATAATTGAACTTAATGTATTGATATGCTGAACAGAACGACACTAAAGGTGATTCAATATTACTCAAAATACGCACAAATTAAACATTGAAGTGTGGTTATAAATTTTATGACATAAATTCAATGATCAAATCATCTCAAAATTTTGTATAAAAATAGTTAAAATGAGTGTCTTAAAGAGAGGAATCAAATGATTCTCAGATTACTCAATTATGAAGTTCTTAGAAAGCTAAAATATTAAAAGAAAGATCTATAATTAAAGAATTTTACACATGCTATATGATAGGGTGTTTTAGGATTTTAGCTAGATTTACTAGAATATCACTCTTTAAAACTATAAAAAGACCCCCATTATCCATTTTAAATAGATTAGGACCGGAGATAAGAGAAAGGTTGGAGGTCTATAAAACTATAGAGCTAAACCTAATATCGACACTAATAATCACCCTACCAATCAATGTCGCCCAACATTTTGCCTAGTACAACATCATACTATTACCATCATGCAATCACCATCGTCCTTATGTTGTCATTCTACCATCATTTATCTTCCATTAATGCCCGACTAGCATCTTTTGATTGTTGTCATTACCCTTCAAAATTTCTCAAATGTTCACATATGTAACAATAGGATATCAACTTAGTGTTGTGTTCTAAAATTATAATCCCATCTTCTCTAGTTAAGGGGAAGAGTGGGCCTTGGCAATCTATATCAATATAGTGGAGTATTTTAGATGAGAAGGGGCTTGTGATTTTTTCATTTTCATATTTTTTGAAATAAAAACTTTAATATCTCTTATATTCATCTATTTTATTTGTGCATGTATAAGATCTTCGTGTAAAACTTGGGAGTAAAATTGTCTCTTTATCATCACAAAATTTCTAGCATGCAACAATGCTTATCTATATCATATGAACTTAATTGTTTTAATTAAAGAGAATATAAATTAATTTTATTAGCTATGCTCATCTAATTCTTGTCTTCTCAATGATGCAATCTTACCTTCTATCAAGAGAATAATCAAGCTGATTGCTATCATAACCAAAGTTAAGATATTCTATATTAATCTTTGTTTATCACTGATTAATAACCAGTGTCTCATGTCTATCAACCAACAACATCCAATATCCATCTTTTTGGTCGTCCGAGCTCCTCTCCTTATGCTTTGTTTGGGACGACTTTCTTCATGTTTTCTAAAGCAACTTTTTAGTACAAAAAAAATTGGTTCAAAAAATTTTTGTACTAAAAAACTGTTTTAAAAAACTGTCCCAAACGAAGCCTTATACTAATAAACTTTTTTTTTTATTGGGCAAGACTCATAATTTTTTCTATTGTCAAAACAATCTTATATATGTACTCAATAATTTTCTACTTCCCAATGTGCTTCAACTTAATAAATTCCTAAAATATTAAAATATCTCTATCATAATAAAATTTTCAGCACATAATTATTTTACTTCATGCTTATCATCTTGTTTGACCTTATGAATTAGAATATTATCTAAAAATATTTTATGTTGATTTAAGTAGAATTTTAGTGGCATTACTCTATGATCCAATCATATTTATCCTTTTTAAAATTGCTTCTTGAAATTTTATATGTTGGATTTGAACTGACCTTATCCAACACAAATTATTGCATGAAATTTTTGTATTTTTTGGAGCAAGACATTGAGTCCAAACCAAAACTTTAATAAAATTTTTTGGGTTTAGTTGAAAATTCAACATAAGTTATGGTTTCCTATATATATATATATATATATATATATATATATAATAATCTCTCCTCTCCTCTTAATGACATATATATTAGTGATGTTTTCAACCTTTAGGACTCTATCCATATTAAAATCTAAACAAAGTGAGGCTTATCACATTCTTGTGGATATAATCAATGTCAATTAATAACAATAAAATAGTATGAGATGTGTTCCTATGGATATAAAAAAGTCAACTAATTTATAGTTAAAAAAATAAAAATAATAAATAAATAAAAAGTCAACTAATATATATTAGTTTAAATTTGAGCTTTTTTCTCA